TCTAACAGTCTAATGGGAGGAAACAGATACACGAACAGTTAACTTTTAACAGTCTGATTTTGAGGAACAGATAGAGGGAACAGATTGAGGAACAGCTTGCTGACTAGTTAAATATAGGAGTTGAAAGGAAAAATATTCAGGCTTACTTCCTGGTACGGCCAACCATTTTCTCTTCCTTGAAACTCTCCCTCTCTGGGTCCCCACACACCTCCCTGTCTTGAGTTCTGTCTGCTTTGCTGATCTTCATCAGTAGATCCACTTCAAAGGCACAGTCCTTAAATGTCAGTGTCCCCGGGGCTCCCTCTTTAGCCACCTGCTCCATTCTTTCTCCTTCTCATAGGGCCAGGATCCCCAAAGCTCTGTTTCGAGCGCAGACCTCTCTTCTTGTTACCGGAAAGGGGACCTGGCTCTTAGCGCATCTGCCTAGAGCTGGTTTGTAGTGTGTGGCTTCTTGATCATGTAGGAAAGATTTCACAACACTAATCCAGGCAATTCGAGAGTACATTTTTTAAAGCTGGGGGCAGTGAAACAAGGAAGTGTCACAGGTGGGCACAGGTAACCAGGTTCTTGGTAATTGGGACAAAGAGTTGAACCGAACACACAGAGTTTATGGTAGAGAATATGGGAGCAGGCCCACTCCAAGCAGAGATTGACCTCGTGAGCTGGAGGGATTCTATTCTTACAGGGTGGATCCTTCCTGGCTAGTTTTGGCAGGCTTTGATTGTGCAGGTACAAGTACCTGTATTACTTTAAAGCTACAGCAAGCCTGGTCTCCCATGATTTTCCTTGATTGGCCACTGGAGAAGGGGTCACACAATGGTACCGAATGGACCCCCCTTGTCCTGGGGTCACACTGTACTAGGTTCACCTTGCCCACCGCCAGGGAATTATAGCTCTCCATGTCAGAGATTGGTGAAAAGGAAAGGAATTATTTATTCAAAAGTTATACTGACTTAAGAGTCATGACTTAATGTCTTCATTAAAATCCCCAAACACACACAGTCCTTCCTTCCCCCCTTTGACTCGTCTGGGGTACTGTATCTCGGGAAAATAAATGTTAGTCTGTGGCTCAGGCAGCCCCCAGTTCTTCCCAGTAAGCTGCGCGCGGCTGGCAGGCCTCCCTCGGTTCCCAGCACCATCAGCTGTGTCGCTGGGATCTCCAGTTCTTAATCCAAGACCACGTGGCACCTTCTCCAGGCCCACCAGCAAGAGTCCTCTCACCCTTGCCTTCCCGAAGCGTCTCTCCTGCACTCTTCTGAACTGCTAAGAGAGAGCTCTGCATCGCTGCTATGTCTTAACTTTCTGGCTTCCTAAACTGCATGGCAAGGGGTGGTTCCTCTCTGCCAGAGCCATGCAGTTCTTCTTGGCATGACTGCTGTGCCTGAGTTTAAATCCCAGCACTAATCTTCCTCTTCAGCCCCATTTCTGACTCCTCCCACAATCAGCTACACTTGATTTTTCCAGCTTTTCTGGGCTGCCATAGTGAGTCCGGGCAGGCGTGGCCCTGTGGTGTGGAGCCAATCATCTCCAAGCTTACACAGACTGTGTAGCCGGAGGGAGTTGCCTCCCAGTTACATCCTGGGTGGAAGTCACTCCCAGCCCCCTGCCTCAAAGCATAGCCACAGCTATTTAACGTATCTATGAAACCAGTTAAAGCTCATGGATATACTAAATGACCATGCCAGAGGTTAGCTGCAAAGCTGTTGCTAAACAGCTCTTAATGGCCCTGCTCCATTAAGAGGGAGTGTGTCCCTCCATATGTCCAACCCTCCAGTTCAGACTTGTGGGGGTGAGGACATCTCATATTTTTAATATTTCCTGGACACCCAGAGTTCTGGACCCCATTACAAATCCCTCGTTGGGGGGGCCCCTTGGCTACACCCTCTTACAGAAGGGCTTAGGATATAAGAATATGAAATTGGAAAAGCCAGTGTCCATGCTGCCTGTCACCTTCCAGACCTAATAAGCAAAGACAGGAATTGAATCTTTTTTTTTTTTTAAGATTTTATTTATTTATCTTTAGAGAGGAAGGGAAGGAGAGAAGAAGTATCAATGTGAAGAAGTATCAATGTGTGGTTGCCTCTTGTGTGTCCCCTGCTGGGAACTGGCCTGCAACCCAGACATGTGCCCTGACTGGGCATCGAACTGCGATCGCGTGGTTTACAGGCCCATGCTCAATCCACTGAGCTAATTGAATCTTTATGGGCACTTTATTCAGATGGCTGGTGATCTGAGAATATGGCAGGTTTGTACCCTAACAGACCGTTTAAACTCTATTTTAAACCAACCCTTTTTATAAGAAGAAAAGTATAGGTTAAGGGGATTGGAACTCAGAGAAAAAGTTAATCAGATAAAAATCAGCATTCTTTCCTTATGGCTCAGATGCCATCTTGCTAGCTTACAGTCTTCTTGAGGCACAAAGATGGAACTGCTTATCGTCTCCTGGAGTCAAGGTAGCTCATACCTTCAGCTCCTGAAACAATAGCTTTGTACCTACATTAATTACCATGCTTATTAGCTATTACCTGAAACTAAAATTTTTCCACATTTGAGTCCCCCATCAAAACAACGGGAGACCCTAGGTGGGGCTGCTTTGGCTCTCTAGAAATGTTCAAGGAAAGAAATGAGCCTTGGTGGGTCTGCCTCAGCGTACACAGAAGTCAGAGAAAAAGGGAGCCTTGGAGACAGGTTAAGGGTTTAGCCCAGGACAAGCCGCTGCTGCCCGTTGCTCCCATTGCAAGTCTTGTTGGGTCCCTTTGAGTCTGGGAGATGCATGCCTGTTGGGGAAGAAGGGAGAAGGAGAAGGAAAAGGTATATGGGTGTTCCCAGGAGGGAGAGCAAGTACATGCTGGGAGCTTCATTTTGAGGGTTTTTAAAGGCTGGGGTTTAGGAGAGGACCTCAATATAATATTCATCAGCTTTATACTGACGAGGCAAAATGAGACTTATTCTCTCAACTTTCTCTGTCCTTGGGTGTGGTTGGCAAATGGCACTAATTGGGTTTCTACTATCTGTCTCCCTGAATAGGGCGATTTAAACTATTTACCATCTGGTTTTGGAGGAGAACCATTTACTCTTAAGTGTCTTTGGTTTAAGGGAAGATAGGATTTAGCAGATGGCTGCAAACTATCTGTCTCAGTTCCCCTATTTCACTTGTCCTAGTTTACTGGCTTATCTCATTGTGAGCAACACATTTACCAGCATCTACCAGGTTGGTCTACCTGCCCCAGGCACTGCAGAGTGAGTGTGCAAACCTTCTAGCCCCCAGTGCTGTGTGCTTTTCTGCTGCCCAAGATGCCTGGGACTTCCTCCAGAGAGGAAATAGAAGTGCAAGTGTCATAGAAATATGGCAGCATGTATGCAGTTTAAACTTTTATAGTAACCATATTAAAAGAGCAAAAAGAAACAGGTGAGATTAATTAAAAAAATTTTAAATATTTTTAGACAGAGGGGAAGGGAGGAAGAGAGGGAGAGAAACATCAATGTGTGGTTGCCTCTCACACGCCCCCTACTGGAGACCTGGCCTGCAACCCAGGCATGTGCCCTAACTGGGAATGAACTGATGACCCTTTGGTTCACAGGCCGGTGCTCAATCTAATGAGACACACCAGCCAGGGCAAATCTTTAATAATATATTATTAACCCAATACAGCCAGTTATCATTTTAACATGTGATCACTATAAAATTATTCTTTTTTTGCATACTGGAACTTCAAAATTTATTGTGTATTTTAATCTCAATTTGCACTAGTCACATTTCAAGTGATCAATAGTCACGTGTGGCTGGTGGCTCCTGTACTATACAGTGAAAGTCTAGAATGGAAAATGCAGTATTTGAGCCCTGGCTGGTTTGGCTCAGTGGATTGAGCACAGGCCTGCAAACCAGAGGATCGCGGTTTGAATTCCAGTCAGGGCACATGCCTGGGTTGCAGGCTAAGTTCCCTGCAGGCCAGTTCCCAGCAGGGGATGCATGAAAGGCAACCATACATTTATGTTTCTATCCCTCTCTCCTTCCCCTCTAAAGATAAATAAATAAAATCTTAAAAAAATAAATAAAAATGCAGTATTTGAGGTTGGGCAAAAACACCCTTGTAAGAAGTATGGTAGAATACATACATTATAAACATCACTGTTTTTATAATTCATGTACAGGGTGAAGCAAAAGTAGATTTACAGTTGTTTTAATGGAACATAATGCAATAATTAATAATATGAGAATAAACTATTTTGTGTACTCATAACTGTAAACCTACTTTTACCCTGCCCTGTGCATTCTGTTCCTTGTGGTTTTCCCCTAATATTCAGAGAAGATTTTGAAATTCCAGTGTTTCTCAGCAGTGCTAAGAATCAAAGTATCCTTCCTCCAGTGCTAGGAAGGGATTTTCAAGGGAAAGTATCCCCCTGACCCAAAGGGAAGTCCCAAGGGCGAGGAGAACTTCTTACCACGGAGCTCTCCTTACTTGGATATGAAGACTCTGGATTTTGTTTTAGAAGAAAATTGCTTTTCTTCACAATTCCTTTTCAAAAGAGTCATACCTTAGCTGGCAGAGATAAAATGTTTTTACAACAGTCTTGGATTTTCCCAGGATGGTGTTAATGTTTAATAGCATCTCTTTTCAGTCTGTGCATCTTGAAATATGGTTCGGAAGACAGGACCTCTCCGTGGGTTTCCAGTGTGCAGTACCGAGGAGTACTGTGGTGACCAACCGACTGGTGCTCAGCTGTTCCTAAACTAGCACTTATTCTGGACACTTTTCCGTAAATGGTTTCAGTAGACTGCTCCTTCCCTGGGGGCTGAAATGGGTCCCGGACAGGCCACGTCTCTTCAGGTGACAGCAGAGCCCTGAATGCTAGCGCTTCCTTCTCCGGAGACCTAGTCCATGTTACTGTGCACAGATCGGCCTGAGTTTTTAGGGGTGCTCTTTCTGAAAAAGAAGATATTTAAAGTTATGTAGGAGGCAGCAAGGCTTTCTAAGAATATTTTTGGCAGGCTGATAAAGAAGGATTAAAAAAAAAAAAAGAAATGATACAGGCCTGAGAGAGTAGTGTTAGCCGTTGGGACGCCGCCAGATACTGGCGTAGGCAACTGAGGAAGACAATGGCCTTTACTGTTAATACTATTCAAAACGCCGTCTACGTTCTTCAGTCGTCAACTAAAATTATCTCACTTTCGAAGTCCAGGCCCTCCGCGTGGGGCGGGGGAGGGCCCGGCTTCCAGGCGGCCCGCACCGTGCCGGGGTCCTGGGCGGTCCTCCCGGCGGCGCTGGGTGCGGGGAGGAGGGTGCGCGGCGCGGGGGCGCGGCCCGCCTTCCCCGCTCAGTCTCCGGCCGCTCCGCGCCCAGGTGGGGACGCCCCCTCCCCCGCAGCGCGGCTCCGCGGGCGGGAGGAGGGGCTGGGCTGCGACTGCCCGCCCTTCCATCTATCACATGGCCGGAGCGCCACAAAAACAACAGCTTTGGCCGTGGCGGGGACTTCAGGACGGGAAACCCGGGGCCCTCGCTACAGCCCCCACCCCATGGAGGAGAGTTTTCTCGAATCCTTTGGGAGGCTGAGCCTCCAACAGCCGCAGCCTCGGCTCCCGGCCCCGCCGCCCCCGCGTGGGACACCCCCGCGCCGACACAGCTTTAGGAAACACCTCTACCTTCTGCGAGGCCTCCCTGGCTCGGGGAAAACAACACTGGCCAGGTAATGCCCCCGGCCCGGCCTGCGCCCCCGGCCCCGGCCCGCCTGTGTGGCGCCTGGGCCCGCGCCGCGGGTTGCTTGCCGCGCTCCCCGAGCGCGGGTTTGGCGCTGTGCCCCTGCGCCAGCCCCAGGTGTCACGGCCCTTGCCCGCAGCTTCACGGGCCCAGGGCCGCGGCCAAAGACCAGCGCCGCCCGGCTTGGGGGCGGGAGGCCTGCAGGGTTTGTGGCCAAGCAAACCTGGGGGCTACTGCAGAGAAAGCCGGGGGGCCGCCCACCGGTGCGCAGGCACCGCCACCAGCGTCAACAGGCGTCTTCACTCTGGCGGAGAGACGCAGGGTAGCGCCGGTGGCAGAGGCTGGCGCCGCACTGGGAACCCAGAAGGTTAGGCAGCTGCGTGGCTGGGGCAGCTGCGGAGGCGCTCAGGTGTACAGGGAGGGGGTTGGCGCCGCCCGCAGACCCTGGTGACAGCGCCACGCGGTGGGCGCCCGATCGAGTTCATCCACGAATTGATCCACGAATTGCGTAGGCGGCCAGAGTGCCAGGTCAGCTGCGACTACGGGGCCCTGCTGTCACCTTGCTAGGCCCACCGGGCCAGCCTCAATCCCATCAACTCGCCACCTTACACCTGAGGTTCCAGCATCTTTGTCCCGTTCCCTCCCAGCCTGTGCTAATGCTGCCGCCTGCCTGGTCTGCAGGCCACCTCCCTCTGCCCCAAGGTTCCACTAGCCCTTTAGGAATCAGATCCGTTAGGGCATTGGCAGCCAGCCCACACACCTACCTGTAGATGCCTTCTGGGTTCTGGGGCCTCCCATTTCCACCTCTGTGACCACGCTGGTTTTTGCACAAGGTTCTGTTTATCCTAGCGTAGTTTCTTGAAGGTAGGGGCCCTGGGGTATGCTACCAGGCACAGTGTCTGGTGAGGAGTATGCTTTCAGTGGAAGAAGTGGTCCCTTGTCCTTAGAGAGTTTTCCATTTCCTGGAGCAGGAGCGTCAAACTCATTTCACAGGGGCCCCTCATCAGCCTCCTGGTTGCCTTCATGGGGCCGAATGTCATGTTAGGACGGTATAAATGTAACTGCTCCTGAACAGTTAAGCAAGAGCTCAGCACTGCCAGGTAGAAACAATGTGCTGGGCTGGATTAAACAAGGTGGAGGGTCTGATCTGGCCTGTGGGCCTTGTGTTTGCCACCTGCGCCTTAGAGAGATGAGGCAGAAGAAGAATCAGGGGGCTTACCTTCAGGAGCTGATTTGAATGGGAGGAGGGTCTGGGTCCTTTGAGGGTCAGGGAACTGTGACAGCCCTGGGGATGTGCTGCCTGTTTTATGTAGGATTTCCAGCTAATTTGTAGAGTAGAAGCCTTTAGCAAAACAATTTAGCTACAATTTCACAGATCAAGGGATGGGTGCCTTCCCAAAGGCGGTTTGTACCCCTTCCTAAGAAACCTATTTCAATAGGTGTCTCTCTGTCTGGGTGGGGGGGTTGAGGGTCCAGAGTGGGGGAGTCCAGCAGAGGGTTATTTTGTGTGTAAGTCATGGGGTGACATCTATTAATGACGGAGTAACTTCTATATTCAAATCCTGTTTAGTTTCACTTTGGCTGATCTGTGGCCTGTCATACACATCACACACTGAGTGTCAAAGAAGGAAATAAATGTCTTTGTCCACATTGTTTTTATAGCTGCTCAGAAGGGAAGTCATACGATGAGTGGAGGTACATAGACTTGACCATCAGAAACGGTGAGATTTGGACCTCACCTTCCTTATCTGTAAAGTGAGTGACTTGGCCTCAGTTGGACTTGAAGTTCTCGGCTGGCTCTAACATTCTACACTTCTAGGATTTTAATTCCTGGGTGATGTTTAGCTAAGCAGAAGACACTGGATGAGGGAGCACTGGCCTGGGAGTCTGCAGCTTGTGCCTTTAGATCCTGTTCGTCACGAATGAAATAGCTGGTGACTTTGGGCAATCACTTAGCTTCTCTGGGACTTATTTTCCTTACATGTGAATACTTAGAAATGATTAGGTTAGATGACTTATTGAAGATCCTTCTGGCTGTTAATTGTCTTAATTCTAGTTGTCAGAGATGGTTTGTTAATAATTGCTAGGTGAGATCTCTGACCTTGGGGTCCACTTACAGCTTCAAATTCAAGCTTTGCTACTGTGATCTTTACTCAACTCCCCTGCACCTCCGTTTACTTCCTGTTGAGTGGGGATATCTGCTCTGCCTACTTTAGAGGGCTGTTGTAAGGGTTAAATATGTGATAGAATTTGTTAAACTTTAAATTTTATGTATTTATTTTTAGAGAGAGGGGAAGGGAGGGAGAGAAACATTGATGTGAGAGAGACATCAATCGGTTGCCTCTTGCACACCCCCCAACTGGGGACCAAACCATGCAACTTGGGCATGTGCCCTGACCAGTAGTCAAACCAGGCGACCTTCCACTTTGCATGATGACATTCAACCTGCTGAGCCATACCCTCAGGGCAATTTGTTAAACTTTAAAGTGCTATATAAGTTTTAAGAGGTAATAGTTACTGCTTAAGATGCTGACCAGCTGAGGTAAATCTTCAAGGTGTTATTGGGGAGGAGACTGGCTCTGAGTTGTCCTGTTAGGCTGGGTGTTGGCAGTTCTGGGATCCAAAGGACCTCGGTGCAGCTTTCGGTGGGTTGTGATGTATACAGAAATTTGGGAAGGAGGTGAGGAAATAGGCCACAGGTCAGTAAGAAGGGAGGCGTGTGCGAGGGTGAAATGGGTGGTGAAATGGGGTGCTATATAAAAAGTCTGTCACAGGCTGCAGCCCTCAGGGATCTGCCTTTCCCACTTTTTAAGGGGGTCAGTGGGGGAGAGAAGGAGAATGCCAAATTGTTTTAAAAATGCACATATACATAATCTGAATTACTAATTTTTGTAGAGTAGACTTTCCTTAAGAAAAAATACACATGTAGAAAATGGTAAAACTGTGAGGCTATCTTATGTATGGTTGGATTGTGGGAAATTCATATTTTCTATATTGGGAAATTCATATTTGCTATATTCTGTGTATTTTCTATATTTTCCAGATTTTCGATAATGAACATGTATTTATTGAATCAGAGAAATAAAAATGCAGGTCCATCTTTTTTTCTGTTTAACTTTTAACTTTCATTTAATTAAAGAAATAATAAAAATGCTTTTGAAATTAGGATATGTCTTGTCTTCCAAATCAGTGTTGGATTTCTATTCTTTTCACCTATTTGTTTTCATAGTTGGAAGGGCTGGAATATGGAAACCATCTATTTAAATTGTTTGGTGAGATTAAAAACAGAATATTTTGTAGTTAAAAAAATTTTTAAGTACCTCGTAGTACTAAAAAAAGCATGCCTCCCAAATCTGTTCTATCACCTCTATTTTATTTTTAAAACATTGTAAAAATAGGTTCTTATTGACATGTAAGTCCTACTTCCAGGAATTCACCTGAAGGTAACAATCGGACAAGCACATGAAGACAGAAGAATGTTCAACAGAGAACTTTTTTATATTACAGAAAAAAAATGTGAGCCAATGTAAACATACAAAGATAGGAGACTGGATTATAAATCAGGCAGTCATTAATGGGAACATGGATGTGTATGTTCCTGTTAAGGGGCACAAATATTACACCCCATTAAGGTAAAAAATATCTGTAATAAAGCCATCTATCTCTATCATGTATATGTATACATACGCATGTATGCTACTTATATATATATATATATGTACACACACAAAGCCCATTTTTTGTTCAAAGAAAGTGATGTACATATCCTCATAGATAAATGTGTTGGAAGAGAGATGTGTGTTGATAGTTGTTGACTTTAAGTAGTGGGATTATGGACTTTCCCCCTTTATTTATTTCTCATGTTTCTACAACAAATATGTATCACTTGTTAATTTTTTAAGGTGAAAATAACTTTTTACACTTGAAAACAGTTTTGTTCAATAACTTGGTGTGATTGACCCAGGTTGTTGACAAAGCGTTTATTAAATAACAAAATAAATGTCATTTGCTATATAAAAAGTCTTTCCTAGGTTCATTCTCTGTTGGACATAGGAAACTTTTGTTGTTTTAAATCCTCACCCAGGGACAAGCTTAGAGAGAGAGGAAGGGAGGGAGAGAAACATCGATTGGCTGCTTCTCATACTCAGGGATTGAACCCACACCCGAGGCCTGTGCCCTGAGCAGGAAACAAACCCTCTTTACCTTTGGGTTTACAGGGTGATGCTCCAAGCAACTGACCTACACTGGCCAGGGCAGGAAACTTTTTAAATCCACGTGGAGATTGATTTTAAATACTTATTGTTATTAATTGTATGTTAACGAATATTTTATTAATTTTTATTAATTAGCATATGAACTAGCATAGGTCACTTGATTCTTCAACACCTCAGGTTCTTTTCCATTAAAATGAAGTTACTATTCCATTAGTAAGCCTATTGCGAGGATTAAGGCTACTATGGGAAACAGATTCCACAGTCTTATGTGGAAAATACTGTGGAACATGTGGGCTTTATAAATACCAACCATTGGTTATTATTTACTGATCAATAATCATAATATTCACCGAGTACTTGTACAACTATTAGTATTGGTTTAGTAAGGTATAGATCAAGTAAGATTGAGAGAAGGGACCGATACAAGACTAGGGAATAGAAAACAATGATCAGTACACAGCTATGGGTTGACATTTAATGGGAAGACCATCTTACATTCTGTTGATGTTCAAGGCCAGGGCTGTCACTGAAGATGATTAGAAAGACAGAATAATTAGGAAGAGTAGTTTCCTCCCTGTAGAGGAGGTTCTTGAGGTGGCCTTGAAGATGGGGAGACTGTGGTGAAACACAGGAGAAGGATTAGCACTGGACTAAGGAAATGAGAGGGAGCTGGGTGTCTCGGGCTGGTGAGGAGAGTGGCTGCATGGTGCAAATGGTTCCATGAGTGAGTAAATTGGTTAGGTCCACCCAGGGCCAGATCATGGAGAACATGAAAAGCTGGACAAAGGAGTACAGAGTTGATAAAAGAAATGGGATTCCCATCCCAAGGCCCCTTCACTCAGCAGATGCAGTGCTCTCTGACTCTACAGCTGAACTGATGCCCCAGGATCTGCACCTACCCAACCCTCCCACCTCAGTGAAAGCGTCTGCGGACCCATGCTGCGTGTATGTGTGCCTGTGTGTGCATGGGTATGAAAACGTCCCCCTTTTGGGTTGTTTTAACTATTTTTAAGGATACAGTTCAATGGCATTAATTACATGATGTTGTGCAACCATCACCACTTATCCAAGTTTTTTTAATCATCCCAAACACAAACTTTGTACCAATTAAGCAATAATTCCCTGCTCCCTGCTGCCTTCAGCTCCTGGTAACCTGTGATCTTCCTTCTGTCTCTGTAGATCTGACTGCTGTAGCTGCCTTGTGTAAGTGGAATCACACAGTATTTGTCCTTTTGTTTCTGGCTAATTTCACTTAGCTTTATGTTTCAAGTTTCTTCCACGTTACAGCATGTATCAGAACCTCACTACTTTTTGTGGCCGAATAATATTCCATTGCATGGATATACCATTCATTTGTTCACTTGAAATGAAATAAATTAAAATGGCAGTAGTAGAGGGTACGCTTCCTTTTTCTTTTAATGGCCTTATTTGAAAAATTAAAAGTTGTCAACCTTATCTCAGGTCCTTAAAAGTTTTTTGAATCTTCCCATATCAGTCAAAGTCTGGGACCCACACTCCAGCAGTTTGCACCCTCCGTGATGCTGCAGTTCCTGTTAGCACTAGCACATGGTTTCCAACATGGCTCAGGGGACCCAGAGAATGCCTGCTGATGGCTATCTTTCCTCCTCATGTGTACCTCTGGATAACATGGAATTTCCCATGAAGAGAAATACCTATTCATTTTTTGGCACTAGAGCTCTCCAAGGAAGTGAAAGGATGCTTTCCCGGTGTGGTGCAGCGACAAGACAGAGACATGGGCAATGATTTACTTTACAAAGCAGTAGTTAAATGTGAGAAGCGGTGAGAGGTTGGGATCAGTGAGGTCAGCTAAGCCGCGTCATTAGACCCCGAAGGCTATGATGCTCAGCAGTGCTCCCAGCCCACCGGCCTGGCCTGTGGTGGTTTATGGATGAGGCTGGGGCTTTCAGAAATGAAGAGAAATGAAGGCAAAGTCAAAATACAAAGTGTGTGGTATGCCAAGCCCGTGTATATGAAAATAGAGTATCAGGCAGGTGACATCTCAGATTTTTAGTCACTTAAGTCTACTTGGAGAAACTACTGACTTTGAATGTTTTTTTACAATTTATTTTCTAAGCCCATTTTTAAAAAGATTTTATTTTTAGAGAGGGGAGAGGGAGAAAGAAAGGGAGAGAAACATCAATGTGTGGTTGCCTCTTATTCATCCCCTACCAGAGACCTGGCCCATAACCCAGGAACCTGCCCTGAGTGAGAATTGAACCAGAGACCCTTTGGTTCACAGGCCAGCACTCAATACACTGAGCCACACCAGCCATGGCTGACTTTTATGTTTTTAATGGTTTTCCTAAAGTGGGTCCTAAATCTCCCTCCTCACTACTCAAAGTCCCTGCAATACCTCTCTCTACAGGCTGGGAGAATGAGGACCGTCAGTGCCGTGTGTGTTTAACAGAAAGTAGGCACACACAGCACAGTGTGTTTATTATCACTCATTGGAAAGGCTGTCCAGCTATACAGAAGACTCACCACTACCACAGTCCTGGGGTCGTTGAACTGGGGCAATATAATATTGCAGGACTGGCTTGATGAGAGAAGCAGTGGAAATAGAGGAAGAAATGAAAGATGTGTTCATAGGAAAACCTCAGGGGATGTACATGGTGTTCCCTTAGAGTTCATCTGGTCTACACCCAACACTATAAGCCCTGAAAGGTTAAGCATGTTGATCATGTCATGAGGATGGACTCTCCTGATTTCTAGTTCAGAGCCTTTTCTTCCTCAGCAAAGGAAGAGGTGAATGAGAGTGATGGGTGAGAGTGGTGAAGTTGTTTGGAGCTGTTGTGTAATGAAAATACCCTCAAAGACCCTAGTAAGAGCGCTGTTTACCTGGATTTTAACTTCGGAGTAAAGAAACCACATTTTATTGTCACTATTGATGAGATGTTTCTCCTGATATAAAACAAATTACCAGGGGATTAATTTTCTTCATTAATGTGGTATCACTGGCAGCAAGCAATGGGAGGAGATGAGATTTAGATTTTTTAAAATTTATTTTTAGAGAGAGGGGAAGGGAGAGAGTAAGAGAGGGAAAGACATATGGATGTGAGAAAGAAAGGTTGATCGGCTCCCTTACATGTGCCCTAACCAGGGACAGAACCTACAGCCCAGGTATGTGCCCTGACCAGGAATCAAACTGGCAGCCCTTCAGTTTGTGGGACAACATGCAACTGAGCCACATGGGTCAGGGCGAGATACAGATTTTAAAATAAGCATTTGTGTAATATGATAAAGGAAAACTAGTCTAATATCTGAAGGTTCCTTCATAAGGATCTCTATCACATCATATATGTGGCTTGTTTTTTTAATCAGGGTGAGAGCCCAGAAGAGGGGAAGGGAAAATGCAGAAAGAAAAGCCCACATTTATGGAGCATCAACTGTATGCCTGGCACTTTTTACAGGCTGGCTGACTGGATCTTCACAATACCCCTAAGATAAAAATAACTATCTTAGGGGTATTGTCTGTAAAACAAGGACCTTAAGATCAGAGGATCACACCTGTGAATCCGACACTCGAGATTTTGTAAAACACACAGTGGTTGTACCTCACCAGGGATGTTCACAAACATACACACTTCTTTTCATCCTCTTTTCATAGTTATTTGGGAGTCCTACTGAAGTAATATTGTACAGCTAAGTACATCAATGCACTTTCCCCACACTTTTTAAGGAAATTACAAAGATGAGGATCTGAGGGGCTTTCTCTGCCTCTGATGCAGTACCTCCAACACTCTGCCCTGTGCTTTGACTTTCTCTTCTTCCTTGCATTAGTACCACCCGACATATGCTTACTTGTTGATTTTCTGTTTCTTTTACTAGAAGGTAAGCTTCATGAGATGTGCTATCCTGTTCACCCAATAGTGGTACTAAAAAGGGATTTAAAAGTTAGTATAACAGATGCAGCTCCCATTTAAAGCAGCGGTCAAAGAGCCCCGAGTGACAGGATTACTGCATGGCCACTGTTCTGTTGTCTGTAGTAGACTTAAGACATTTTGGGAAACACAGCTAAAAACAGGTTAATACTGAGGTAGGTGTACTTCTAATTCCTCTGTGTGAGCATGGTGTAAGTGACCAATAGAACGCAAATGTGGGCAGCCTGTCTCGTTGCTAGATTCTGTGGAAGGCTGTTGTTTACATGCAAAACTCTAAAAGGAATTTCTGCTACACGGAGTGCTCATGAAGGCCATCTGGGAGTCTGGATTTATCTGATCAACAGGCCTACTATAAAGGCATGAGCGGTAAGAGAAGAGTATGCAGGACAGATTGGGAACTGTCTGCTGCAGTTCCCTTAGCCACTGTGGCTTAAGAATCCATAGTGCTGGAGACAGTTGAGGTCCTTCTCTGCAAGGGGTCAGCCTTGACATGGTAGTTGGCAGCACCAAGAAGGTCAGGCCACACCGGGCCTTAGGGGAGAGAGTCCCAAGTTATAAACAGGGGGCGCTCTCTCCCTTGCTCCTTAGGCAGCTGGGTCATGGAACCTGATTTATACCTCTCAGGTTAAAGTCCTCGAGGGGAGTTCTGATAATATTCAGAGAAAATGCTGGGATCCAGGAAGCATCCTTTCTTGCAGTCTTCTTTTGGGGTACATCCAAAGTTTGGGTAAAATTATCAATGTGTAAGAATGATAAAATAGAAAATTCATACAGTTTGGGATCCTATAAAAAGCATTTGCATCATTAAGGCAGCAGAGCTTAACATTCAAGAACCACGCATAGAACTACTCATACATTGACTAAATGTTGATGATCTCTCATGTGCCTGACATTCTTCTAGATGCTCCAAATAGATCAGTGAACAAAAGACACAAAAATACCCACCTTCATGAACATATATTCTGTCCAAGAAAAAAATTTCTGAAGGAAAGAAAAAAGTTTAAACAGCATTTGCTCTGCTTTGTTCTCTCAAAAATGAACAGCAACAAAAAGGTTTCCATAGCTGGTCCAATTGAATTATATGTACCCTCAGGAAACATTCCACATATGCAGGAGGAGATTAATCACAATGATGTTCACTGAAACTTGTTCATGATAGGCAAAACTGCAAACAAACTAAATGTCACCAGAGAAAAGGATAAATAAATGCGGTCTGCTTATTTTATAGCACCCGAGCACAGTGGTTTAGTTCATAGCTCTGGGACCAGGAGCCTAGGTTTTTTTTTTCTTCTTCTTTTTATTGATTATGCCATTACAGTTGTCCCATTCCCCCCCCCTTTATTTTCCTCTACCCTGCACACCCCTCCCCCACCATTCCCCCCTTTAGTTATGTTCATGTGTCAAAAGTTCTTTAGATTCTATATTTCCCCTACTATTCTTGCCCTCCCCCCTCTCTATTTTCTACCTACCGTCTATGCTACTTATTTTCTGTACCTTCTTCCCCCTTCTCCTCCTCCCACTCCCCTGTTGCTAACCCTCCATGTGATCTCCATTTCTGTGGTTCTGCTCCTGATCTAGCTGTCCTCTTAGTTTGCTTTTGTTTTAGGTGTGGTTCTTAATAACTGTGAGTTTGCTGTCCTTTCACTGTTCATCTTTTTTATCTTCTTTTTCTTAGATAAGTCCCTTTAACATTTTGTATAATAAGGGCTTGGTGATAACGAATTCCTTGTGTTTGACCTTATCTGAGAAGCACTTTATCTGTCCTTCCATTCTAAATGAAAGCTTTGCTGGAAAGAGCAATCTTGGTTGTAGGTCTTTGGTTTTCATGCCTTGGAATACCTCTTTCCAGCCCCTTCTTGCCTGTAAGGTCTCTTTTGAGAAATCCGCTGACAGTCTGATGGGAACTCCTTTGTAGGTGACTGTCCCCTTATCTCTTGCTGCTTCTAGGATTCTCTCCTTCATTTTAATCTTGGCTAATGTAATGATGATGTGCCTTGGTGTGTTCCTTCTTGGGTCCAACTTCTTTGGGACTCTCTGAGCTTCCTGGATTTCCTGGAAGTCTATTGCCTTTGCCAGATGGGAGAAGTTCTTTATTATTTGTTCAAATAAGTTTTCCACTGGTGGCTGTTCCTCTTCCCCTTCTGTACCCCTATAATTCGGATGTTGGAACCTTTAAAGATGTCCTGGAGGTTCCTAAGGCTCTCCTCATTTTTTAAAAATTCTTGTTTCTTCATTCTTTTCTGTTTGGTCATTTTTTTCCTTGCTTCTGGTCCACTCCCTTGATTCGAGTCCCAGTTTCCTTTCCATCACTATTGGTTCCCTGTGCATTTCCTTTCGTTTCACTTAGTTTAGCCTTCATTTGTTCCTCTAATTTGTGACAAATCAACCAGTTCTGTGAGCATCCTGATCACCAGTGTTTTGAACTGTGCATCTGATGGGTTGGCTATCTCTTGGTCGCTTAGAAGTATTGGCTTTGGGGCTTTGAGCTCTTTTTCTGCTTGAGCTATAATGTTTTGGTCTGTTTGCGCCTGTTATGCCTGAGGGGCAGAGCCTTAGGTGTTCACCAGGGTGGGGCGACCCAGTCTCTGGGTTGTGACTCTATGTGGGGGCAGGGTGAGAGAGGGGCAATGGCGTTTGTTCTGTTCTCTCTGGGATTTTGGTCTCCTCTGCTGCTTCCCGCAAGAAAACGTGGCCCCCTGGTGCCAGCTCCTGGGTGTTGGGCCTGTGCATTCTCTAGGACCCCATGGGTCTCTCCAACAAACTCTCTGTGAGCTTGGAAGCTTCTCCCTGCACCTCGACCTCGGAAGTTTTTCCAATTGGTGCTTTTAGGCTCTAATTTCCATCACTGGGGCCCTAGCCTGCAAGGTCTATCTCACTGCTCGCTTTTTTGCCTGGTTTATCTGTGCACGAATGTGTGACCACAGTCAGCCCTGTGCCCCCACTGGGTTTGCCCGTTGCCACCCCACGCCTCGGATCTGCCAACCGCTGTGAGTGTGCCTGGGTCAGTCTGGCCACTATTTCCTGCCCAACCCTGCTCCGCCAGCAGCTGACTCCACCCCTCTTTACTGCTCTGAATGAATGGTTCTTTGTTGTTGGACTTCTGTACAGTTCAATTTTCTGTGTTGTGGTTGCATTTTTGTTACTAAAACTTTGTTGTCTTTAAACTTGGTTGTGCAAGGAGGTACAGTGTTTCCACCTACGCCTCCATCTTGGCTGGAAGTCCAGGAGCCTAGGTTTTAATCCAGCTCTGCCACTCACTGGTCTCTCCTCTCGTCCCACTTTATTGATATAAATAACATATTACCTTGTTCAAGTTCAAGCTGTACTGTGTGTTGATTTGATACACTTGTGTGTTGCAAATCTGTTTACCAACATAGCTTAGCTAATACCTCTGTTGTGTCACTTAATTACCATTTGTTTTTGTGGTGAGAGCATTTAATATCAACATTCTTAGCAACTTTCAAGTATGTAATACTGTGTTAACTATACTCACCATGCTGCACATTAGATCTCCAGAACTTACTCATCATATAACTGGAAGTTGATACCCTTTGACCAATATCTCCCCTTTTCTCCACCCCTCTTCCCCTGGTAAGTACCACTCAACTCTGTGAGTTTGACTTTTTTAGATTGCACATATTAGGTCATACAGTATTTGATTTTTATTTCACTTAGCATAACACTCTCAGGGTTCATCCATGTTGTTGCAAGTGGCAGGACTTCCCTCTTTCCCATAGCTGAATATTCCATCATATATATATGTACCACATCTTTATCAACTCATCTGTTGATGGGATGTTTCCATATCTTAGCTATTGTGAATAATGCTGCAGTGAACATCGGACACATGATAGCTCCCCTAGACCGTTTTCATTTCCTCTGGGCAAATATGAGGAGTGAAATTGCCAGATCACATGGTAGTTCTATTCTTAATGTTTTGTGAAAGTTCCACCTTGTTTTCCGCAGTGGCTACATCAGTTTACATTCATTCACACCAACAGTTCACAGCGGTTCCTTTTTTCTCCACATCCTAGACAACACTTCAGTATCTCTTGTCTTTTTGATGATAGCCATTTCAGCAGCTGTTCAGTGATTGTGGTTTTTGATTTGCATTTCCCTGATGATCCTGAGCTTTTTTTTTTTCACATACCTGCTGGCCACTTGTACGTCTTCTTTGGAAAAATGGGTATTCAGACCCTCTGACCATTTTAAAATCAGATTTATTTATGCTATTGAGTTGTATGAGTTCTTGTTGGATATTAGCCCCTTAATATATATGATTTAAAAATAGTTTCTCCCATTTAGTAGGCAGTCTTTTCACTTTATTGATGGTTTCTTTTGCTGCGTAGAAGACTTAGTCTGATATAGCCCCACTTGTTAATCTTTGCTTTTGTCATGTATGTTTTTGGTGTCATTCCCCGCCCACCCCCCCAAAAAATGTAGCCTAGACCAGTATCAAGGAGTCTTTCCCTACATTTTCTTATAGGAGTTTTATGGTTCCAGGACTTATGTTTATGTCTTTCATCCATTTTCAAGTTAATTTTTGTGAGTTGTGTAAGATAGGGCTCCTCTGTTTTTATTCTGCATGGGGTTATCAGTTTTCCCAACACCATTTATTAAAGAGACTATCCTTTCTCTATTAAATATTCTTGTCTTGCTTGTCAAATATTAGTTGACTATATGTGAGGGTTTATTTCTGGGGCTTAGAGTTCTGTTCCACTAATCTATGTGTCTGTTTTTATGCCAGTACCATACCATTTTGATTACTGTAGCCTTGCAGTATAGTCTGAAATCAGAAAGTATGATGCCTCCAGCTGTTGTTATTCTCTCTCAGATTGCTTTGTCTAGTTTGGGGTCTTTTGTAGGGTCATATAAATTTTAGGATTTTTTGTACTATTTCTGTGAAAAATGCCTTGAAATTTTGATAGGGATTGCATTGAATTTGTAGATGGCTTTGGGTAGTATGGACATCTTAGCAATACTAATTCTTCTGATCCATGAACATGAAATAGCTTTTCATTCCTGTGTGTCTCTGCAGTTTCTTTCATCAAAGACTTGTAGTTTTCATTGTACAGATCTTTCACTTCTTTGGTTACTTTTATTCCTAAGTGTTTTTATTGTTTTTGATACTATTT